TRWKSARYRMTRSTAGTACTAATGTACAAATGATACGGCTGGAATCTCTTTGCGGAGCCTATGATAAATACCTTACATGAAAATAATTGCTAGATCAGCAAGAACAAGCTCCTGCTGGATCCCTATCAAAGCAGATACTAGGAGGACATCTGGTGGCTGCAATCCTGGTGGTACTCAGAAGTAGTACTAGCTACTAGAAAGATGAGTTCATTGTGCTTGATGACAGTCATCAAGAATGATGAGAAAAACCTCACCAACAACAAGAAGTAAKCATATCATTCAGTGGTCCAGAGGATGAGTGGGAGGACTCCTGCTTCTCTGTTGTTTCTGCCTGTCACCCATAATGCCAAGACCTCCAATCATTATGGTTAAAGCAAGAAGTATTTCATCTGTAACAAGATATCAACCAGCTGAGGAAAAAGAAAGCACCAACHCTGGAAACCCATCAATCTCATACTAGGTTCAGCTTGTAAGGGAGGGCCACCACTTGATTGGTCTAGTATGATACTAGTAGAAGTACTATGTACTGTAATATGGTGGACTGTACTTGGGTATAGAAATGAAAATGACACCTTAAATTGTATCACTGCTGGAAAGCTGAACACCAAAAAAATACTTCATTTTTTCTAGGGRTGTGCAATACAACAATGCAAATTGAGTGCAGTGGAGACATCAGCATAGAATTGGCTTTGGTAGAATAATGTGCTGTTTGTGTTTGTGTTTTCAATTTGGAAACAATKGCAACATTGGTTAACATGATTGCAAATCCAGTTGCGATACGCATGATAGTTGAATCCATGGGCAAAGATGAGCACAGTGGTAGATTGTCTGCCAGGGGGATTGGTTGGTCATCAAATATCCCRTCAAGGAGATCTGGATCTGGGTTGCCTGATGGTTTACAGCAATAGCTGAGGAGGCCCCATGTTTTGGTATGCCAAAGATATAAGACTTTACCTTTGAGGTATTTGAAAAGTATGTCAGCTGGGTGGTACAAGAATTTGGACATTCTTGTAGACACTGGTACATTTGTATCAACGAGGGCCTGCAGACTCAATGAGGTATGRTACTTGTATTGAGCCATATTGAGGTTGTATCAGTCAATGACTTCCTGGGGGTGAATTCATTGGCACAAACAGGGCGATGGTCAGGTCATGAGTCTTTGGTTTAGGTAGTACTAGGTAATGAATCATTTGGTGTTGCTGCTGCATCATCTGTGCATTGTCATTGACAAGTTCGGTCACAGAAGGCAGAGCAATCTGCTGCAAGAAGATCTTTGAAGTCAAATGTGAGGCCATCGTAGGCATAGTTCATGTTGTTGGTCAAGTCTTTGTGGAGTTGATGATCCATCATCAAGTAGAGGATGTCGTCAACATAAGAGAACTTGGGGTAGAAGGCACAGGCAGAGGGACCAGCTTTTGGAATTCCTGTAGTGGTAAGCATGATGATAAAGGAAGGGGGAAGCAAGAGCAAGTAGGTCATTGTTAACTGGTGGGAAAAAGTATTTTGATTGGAATCAAAGTTGTTTTATGAGAGGATAGTAAATGTTGTTTCATGAGTATCTGTTTTCTTTCTTGTTGTAGA